CAAAGCAATACCTCCAATGGTTTTGAAATAAAGTGAGGTGGTACAAAAAAACTTAACCAAGCTCAATACACTTTCTAAGTCAAAAAAGGGCCATAATTCTGTCAAAAACCTTGACAGAGTTATTGTACTCTTGTCTGTAGATGGAGGTTATGATGGTGAACAAGTATGGTAAGTTTCAAAGCCATACTTGTAATACTTCTGAAATAAAGTGGGGTGGTACGAAAAACTTAACCAAGGTGTGACGCCAACGCCGACGCCGACGCCGGGGCGAGTAGGATAGCTCCCCTTTTCATAGAAAAGTCGAGCTAAAAATGTTCAAGTCCATCACACAGATTCAGCAGAATAAGGATTGTTTGATCAAAAAATACATTATAGTGACAATGGACAGTTCCAAACATTGTTTCACTAGTCCATTTAACGTGATCTTGGAAGGTTAACACAAACTTTCAGAAACACAACAGCTTAACAACCCTTTACTTAACTACCCTTAACCCTTTACCTTATATACGCGAAACAACGCACTTTCGACCCCCCTCCCCCCTCTTTAAGGCCTCAAATAGTGAAAAAAATTTTGGACTTAAAGAGAGGCTTAAAATGACCCTAGATCAATCGTAAGGTAACATGTAACCAACACTGAAAAGTATTAGACTCTATCTCAATCCATTGAGAAGTGGCAGCACTTTGAAATCAATTTTGATGGAAAAAATCAACGAAAAATAGTGATTTTTGGCAATTTTGAGATGTCCCCTCGTTGCCAAGGTAATAGGAAATTTAAACCTGAGCATGTTGTTACAAAGGCAATGTGATCCAGTCAACATTTGTGCCAAGTTTGATTAGTATTGAATCAGTTTTTATAGTTTTATAGGGATTTGAACTTGTAACGGGAGACTTTTCAATGAAAACAGCCATTTTTCACAAAATGTTCATGAAGTAATGGGTTAAAATGTTGTACATATGACATTGGCCAAGTCAAAGAATACAAAATTAAATTTGTAAAATATTGAAATTCCAATTATACTTCAAATTTTAATTTTGCTTATTAAAATCTTCTAAATTTAATTAATGTGTACTTTCCTCTTGTCTTAAGGTAAATTAATATATTCTTGATAAAATTTCTAGTTATGTAAATTCTTGGCTAACTATCTGTAACTTTTGTCACTTTACACATATTTATTGACCAGAGAAAATTAAAAGCAGTAATACCAATGCAAATCATTTAATCATGCTTTTTCAAAACTGCTATGGTAACAATAATGAACGCTTCCTAAAGTCAAAGTTTAAACTAAAATGACGATAAGTGCTGCATTCATGAAAACCTATGTAGTTAAACAGTGACCTTCAGATTAGAGGTCCATTGAAGGTACTAACAAAATATTTATGATGATCAGTCAGTAAATGATGGTGTTGTGTAACCCTTTACCTCATATATACGCGAAACAACGCACTTTCGACCCCCCCCCCTTTTTAGGCCTGAAATAGTGAAAAAATGTCCTATTTGGGCCCCAAACACATGTTTTCGTTTTAGAAATGTTGCTAAAAAAAGTGAGCACTTTTTCTGCGCCGCCCCCCATCCAAAAGATACATCAGGGGGTTTGAAGGGGGTGGAGTCCCCCTCATCGCCAAGAAAATTTTGGACTTGTGAGAGGCTAAAAATGACCCCAGGTCGATCATAAGGTAACGTGTTACCAACGCTGAAAAGCCTTTGACTGTATCTCAATCCCTTGAGAAGTTGCAGCACTTTGAAATAAATTTTGATGGAAAAAATCGAGGTAAAATAGTGATTTTTGGCAATTTTGAGATGTCCCCTCGTTGCCATGGTAACAGGAAATTTAAGACTGAGCATGTCGTTACAAAGGCAATAGTCCAGTCAACATTTGTGCCAAGTTTGATTAGTATTGAAGCTTTTTTCATAGTTTCATAGCAGTTTGAATTTGTAACACGAGGCTTTTCAGTGAAAACGGCCATTTTTCACAATATGCTCATGAGGGAAAGGGGTAAGTGTGATAGAAGGAAGAACAGATGACAGACAGAATGAATGACAGAATGATGGACAGATGGAAAGGTATGGCATAATGTAGGATATGTGAGAAGGTATGGCAGAAAAGACAGCTGGGAAGGTATGGCAGTAAGGACAGGTGGGAAGGTATGGCAGTAAGGACAGGTGGGAAAGTATGGCAGTACGGACAGGTAGGAAGGAATGGCAAAGTGAAGGACAGGTGGGAAGGAATGGCAGAATGAAGGACAGGTGGGAAGGTATGGCAGAATGAAGGACAGGTGGGAAGGTATGGCAGAATGAAGGACAAGTGGAAAGGTATGGCAGTAAGGAAAGGTGGGAAGGTATGACAGTAAAGACAGGTGGGAAGGAATGGCAGAGTGCAGTACAGGTGGAAAGGAATGGCAGAATGATGGACAGGTGTGAAGGAATGGCAGAATGAAGGACAGGTGGAAAAGAATGGCAGAATGAAGGACAGGTGGGAAGGTATGGCAGAATAAAGGACAGGTGAAAAAGAATGGCATAATAAGGGAAAGATGGGAAGGAATGGCAGAATGAAGGAATGGCAGAATGACGGACAGGTGGGAACGTATGGCAGAATGAAGGATAGGTGAAAAAGAATGGCAGAATAAGGGAAAGTTGGGAAGTAATAGTAGAATGTAGGACAGGTGGGAAGGAATGGCAGAATGAAGAACAGATGGAAAAGAAAGGTAGAATGAAGGACAGGTGGGAAGGTATGGCAGAATGAAGGATAGGTGGAAAAGAATGGCAGAATAAGGGAAAGATGGGAAGGGATGGTAGAATGAAGGACAGGTGGGAAGGAATGGAAGAATGATGGAGGGATGGAAAAAGAAGGCAGAATGAAGGACAGGGGGAAGGAATGGTAGAATGACAGAAAATGTGGGAATAAATGGCAGAATGAAGGACAGGTGGGAAGGTATGGCAGAATGAAGGACAGGTGGGAAGGTATGGCAGAATAAAGGACAAGTGGAAAAGAATGGCAGAATAAGGGAAAGATGGGAAGAAATGCCAGAATGAAGAACAAGTGGGAAGGAATGGCAGAATGAAGAACAGATGGAAAAGAAAGGTCGAATGAAGGATAGGTGGGAAGGAATGGCAGAATGAAGGACAGGTGGAAAGGAATGGCAGGATGACAGACAGATGGAAAAGAAAGGCAGAATGAAGGACAGGTGGAAAGGAATGGCAGAATAAAAGACAGGTTGGAAGAAATTGCAGAAAGAAGCACAGGTGTGAAGGAATGGCAGGCAGACTGAAGGATGAAAGGGAATCCAAACTGCCAACTTTATGCTCAAGTAAACAATCAAAGGAAGCATAACATTCAGGTATCAATTTAATCATTTGAAACTGAAATATTGACAGTATGTGTGAAGAATGATTGATTGAAGGAGTACGGCCTGGCCAATCTATTTCATAGACTAATTCTTTGAAATGTCAAACAATCTAGACATCTCTTATCTAAAACCTTTCTATTATAAGACATTTAAGTTAATTATACACATGTATTAACTATACTATATAGGTAAAATCTAAAAGACTGTGTCTGTTCAAAATATTTTAATCAAAGAAAGTCACAATAAAATCAAACAGGAAATAGTGCTACTGGCAAGATAATGTAGACATATAATTAATATGTGAAAAAATCAATGACTGTAAAATAGTAAATTAAAAGTAATTACAAAGTGCATGTACTTGGGAGAACTAAAAACACATCATCTTTCTGTTAATAATGCCTTGTAATTTTCAATAAATAAAAATTCATGTTATCAATATTATAAGTTCTCATAATAAACTGTTGGTTACACTCAACATGCTAAATATGCTTGTTTTGACATACCAATTTTTAATTTAAAGGCTCATTAAGCCTCTAAATTGGTATTTTATTTCTCGGAACCATTTTACAGTGGTTTTTTCCCCCCACATTTTCTTACATTTTATCTGAGCCATCTCTTGTGTTTGAGCTACAAGTAAGTACAACTTTGTTTATGTTTTGCTAGTTTTCTGATAAATTCTTCTTATTGAATGCTGCTTTCATCATGTGATAAGCATCTGACATGCTCCATTACTAAACATTATAAAACAGTTTGGTTTTTTTTCATATATTTCAATCATAAAAGTATTTTTTAAACAGTGGGTCAAGCTAATTGAGGTCAAGGCTACAGAGAACTTTACCTCTGTCTTCTATAAGCCATGACCAAAAAATTCAAAATGTCAAAAAACCTGAAAAACATTTATCCATGCTTCCATAACAAATCTTACTAGTTATTAGTGGACAAAAATTAACAGGACAGACAAAAGCCCACCAGTGAAAATGCCAGGGCTGATGAAAGCCCTTTTTCCCTTGTGGGACAAGCTTTCAGTGCTCATGAGGGCCATGGTGACATCGATCTACTGACCTCAAAGTCAATAGGGGTCATCTACTGGCCATGGACAATGTACCTACTAAGTTCATAAACCATGGTTATCTCCTTAAGTTATTTCTCAGACAAGTAAAACATTAATATGTAGGACCAACACCTACCAACAGACCAGACACATTATACTCCATTTTAAGATGGGGATATATACCAGTAAAAACACTTGATGAGTAAGGAATTATAGAAATGTATACACAATTGCTTGCTAAATATCTTGCCCTATGTAGTTTGGGTTATATAAACTTATTGGCCATATAACCTTTCAAATAATGTTCAATAATATATCACAACTATCATTCTCTGATAAATAAAACAATATCATTATCAACCAAGGATAGTTGATGAAATATATATTACCTAAACCGAACGAAAAAATCAACATCCTGATATTTAAACTTTAATCATCAGTCTTAAAGCAAAAGAAAACCAAATGAACCTATCAATTAAATAAAACATCACTTGTAATGGAAAAAAAGATACATTATAAAAATAAACAAAATCATATTAATGTTTTATGCTGTTATTTGTCAAACATGTCATAGCTAACATTTCATGTACATATATTACTATATAATGACTCCTTTGTATTCATAGCCTGTGCTTTGTAGACCTTTATCAATAGATAAAACAATAAACACAAATGATGTATTTTAATCTAGCACTTGTGCTACACACTATAAAAATTTAAACACAGCCTCCCCTTTCATATAAAAGAAAGTAATGCTCTTGCATTTTCATCTTTTTTTTGTGAGTGTTTAATTGTCGGAATGTTTGGTAAATGTGAGATGCCAGGTACTTAAATTACACAGTAAATGGTTCAGAGCCAGCATTGCTGAAACTCTGACCATCATAATTGTTGTCATTCTCACCAAATAAGCTTTGATAGTCATAGTTAAATTTCCAATGTGTATCTATTTTTGATTTAGCTTTCCAATTCAATTTTTGATCTATGATCTGCACATTACCTCCCCTTGGATAATGGCTGACATTTGACAAGGAGCCAACTCTTGATCGAGCAACCTTATTCCAGTCTTTATCAAAGTGAGGAACTTTAAAACGTCCCTTTCTTGGGGTATGATCAGTATTGTCTAATGAACCAATTTTTGATTCTTTATTCCATTTCAATTTATCTTCAAATATCTGTACATTACTGCTTTTGGGTAAATGAGTGACATTATCAAGTGATCCTATTTTCGATTCTTTTTTCCACTTTATGTTATTTTTGGGAATATTTACATCTCCTCCACCTGGACTGTGACTTATATTGTCAAGGGATCCAACCTGTGATTTGGCATCAAGCTTTTGCCTACGTAAGATCACGTTACCACCAGGTGTGTAATGAATGGATGTGAATGACCCTGATGCAGCACTTGCTCCAAATCTAGGAGAAATGTTCGGAAACTTTGGCATGTTCTGAGGCGATCCATCTGTCCTTGATGTATTTGGAAGAGATCCCACCTTAGCTTGGGCTTCCCATTTCAATTTGAATGAGGGAACCTTATGTGTCCCTCCACCTGGATGATGATCGTAATTATCTAGTGAACCTACACGTGAGTCAACGTGAGAATACCTAGTTTTCATAGGTGGTAGATATGGCTCATAGTATTTCCTATTCATTGACCTTTCAATGAAGTTACCTTTGGTTGACCAACTCCAGGGAGCTTTCTTTTTTGTCCATGATTTTTCTGGACCAAATATATCTCTTTGGTATTTGTGGTCCACTCCATCTGAAGTGTCAGTAAACTGTGTATGTATTGGTCTTTGCTCAATTACAACATAACGTCCATTTTTTCTTTCAACAGAAACATTTGTAAATCGTCCATGAGCAAAGCTTCGATGTGGCACATAAACAACAGTTGGAGCTGGTGTTTCAAAGTCAACAAATTTTCTACCTTTCTTTAACTTTAATGGTTCATTAAACCTTGGGAGAGTAAGGGGATGGGAACCAACCTCTACGTTTGCAGTTTCCATTGTTGGTGATAATCTGCCACTCTCCCTGGACCGATGTGTCATTTGACTTGTTGTTAACATAGACCGTTGAGTCAGCTGACTCTGTCTTGCTGTCTTCCTAGGTGATGAATATTCCTCCCACTGCTCTGAATAATCAGGAGAACTAATTGTTGACCTTTCATCTCCGGTAAGCTGACCTACTTCACTAGATCTGCCCAAGTTTAAATTCAGTGGCTTATAATCAGAGTCATTTGACTGATTTAAAGAAGAATCAAACTGTGTAGTGTCCATTTGTTTTGACCCTGTCCTTTCTGGTTTGGGCGATTGATCCCTTGTAGAAATAGGGGACACAGACGGTTGTGGAAGCTTAGTAGTTTCACTCATTGTCCTGGTATAGTCTATCTTCAATCATCAATTATAGAAACAGCTTTTTCACAATATATTTCCACAGTTAAGTCTGTTGATTTTACATTTTACAGTCTCAATTATTTTTATGCCTCCTCTCCATTCATCATGTTATAGGGATCAAACAATCAAAGCAAGAAGTTAGCTAATAAATATCCAAAGCCTGTAAATGGATCAAAGTTTCTTATCAATCCAGTCAGATGATTGCAGTTCTTTACACATGTCACATAACAGCATGCTATTTTTGGTCTCAAAAGGTTACAATAATTTCAATATTGTCTCGATCAAAATTAAATTTCACACTCAATAATGAGATATTGATTCATGCGGGTCAATGTAGATTTCTGCATAGGTCAATTCCACATAAAAAGCCACCTACAGAGTTCTCTGACATTTTATTCAATCATAGAAAAGCTACCAGTCTATGCTGAACAAACAATGCTTCTATAACCACTTCTGTCTGTATATCTGACTCTTTAAACCAATTGAAAGTTAAATAGCAACACAAGATTATTCTTATTCCGAATGTTTAAATTGCTTATCTATGTTCATAAAACAAGATTTATTAAAATCAATTACCATTCATTTAAACTAAACGCTGACGTCATCATGTCCGAAATTAAACTTTTAAGTCAATGTATCAAGTTTGAATTTTTCTATAATTTCACTGTATAATTTCACTGTCGCCTATTTGCTAGATGTTGCATAATTCCTTTTGAAAGTCAAATTGTATTCTACACCTTTCCTTCACATGTGTAAATAGAATAACTAATCTAATCCGATCATTAAAAAATTTCTTTTATAACTTTGACCTACTGTTTGATTATATTTAGCAATATTTTAATCTTCTTGTATGTCCTGACCAAATTAATTAGGCATAACCTTGTACTTTTAAATACATAATTCTATTATATTTTTTCAATAAAAGAATAACTAATTTGTATTTTATGTTATGCTACTCTTTATTTAATAATCATAAAAACACATCAAAATTTTCATTTTTTTTGTTTTTTTAAATACCATTTTGGCATTGTTTATGGAAACATGAGATCTTAAAGTCAAGAACCATTTAAAGAATGTTTCATGACTGTCATATCAAGTCAGTTCATGTTGTTAAGTTTGGAGCACTTTTTATTTTATCAAATTACAGACAGTTAACTACATGTTTATGTCCTTGTGCCAAAATGTATGTTCAAATTATTCTCACATTTGCCCAAATTTATTAATAAACATTTATTCAAATGTTGTACATTTTACTTTTAAATTCAATGGAATATTCAATCATTAAAGAAGAATTCAAATTATGTAAAGTTAAGTATTTTTCATTTTCTATAAAATGATTTTTCAAGCTGAATATCAACACATGATAGAAAACACAAGTCTTTTTTTGGAAAAAAAAAAACACAAGAAAATAGAAATAATGCAGATCAGAAGCCAGTTTGTCTTGTAAACATTGCAGATTTTATTCCCCTTTGGTCAAATCTCCGATGACATTTTACTATCAATTCTTTATTATTATATCTGAAATGATTGAAATCTTGTCATGTTTTCAAATCAGATTATACATGGAACTCTTCTTCCATAAGTAAATCTGAATAAGATTGTATGAAATAGAATTATTTTCTTTGTCATGCCTGTTGTTTTATGATTAACCTTACTTTAAAATGATTAGTGAAAAACAAAAACATTTAATGTGAATAAATGATTTCTTATTGTTTTTTGCCAATTTTTCAAAACATATTCAATCAAGCAGATAGTCAAACTTTCAATTCAAGTGATTATGATATATTTGTTAATCTTAAAATCAATACATATTTATACATGTACAATATACGTTTTGTAAATCATCCAAAGAAAATACCAAGGGAGAGAACTAAAGAATCAGGAAGAAGTTTCAAGCCCTGCTTAACTCCCTTTACAATCCTCACTGAATTAGAGAGAAAACACTCTTTGCATATTAAAAAGAACATGACCTAAACACAGATTAACAATACCAGAATATATAATGTATGACATTTGTGTTAAAAGTTTAATATTGCTTCATGCTCTTGACTTAAATTTAGATATTCAAGATGAGAAAATTAATGACATGATATCAGATGTAAACTAATGAGATTGTAAAACAAAATGTGACATCTATACATTTATTCAATAATATAATTATGTACTTTTGGAATTTTGATTTATAAACTTGTAAGCATATTGAATCTGTTTATCTTTCTTCCAGTATCCTTGTTTTTTTTATAAAACTTAAACAAAAGTTCATTTCTGTCTTTATACCACCAGGCCTGTGTACTCTGACCATGCTCTATATATGTCTTTATCATTTTTATATTCAAATTCTTTTAACTCTGAACAAACTTTCAAAAATTAAAGCATGAAAATTCTATTACATAAATGTCACAATGTATAGAAGACTCTAGTGTGTAACAATAGGAAAACTATAACAAGAGTTTTTCTCATGATTTCTTGGGAACATTTCAAAATGATAATGCCAGCAACTTACCTTTTTATCCCCACCCCCAGGCTGATGTTTCACTTTATCCATTGACCCTACTTTAGGTTTGGCTGTATTGGTAAAGTCTACTTTCTCATCAAGAATCTGTAAAACAAACAGTTTACTTTCTAAACTTTTTAATAAATTTGTATTAAAAAGACCACTCTTTGAACATCAAAAAAGTTAATGGAACACTCATATCTAGTGTAGATATATACAAAAATCTGCTCAATTTTCGCCTGTACAAATATATAGATTTTCCTTTACAATACTTACAAAGGTACAAGTTATAACAAAAAAAAAGTAACTTTAAAAAAAAAAACATTCTTAAAGTTTGAATTCATAATGTTTTTCTCACTTACATTACAATTACATTATAACCTGTTCAACATGCCTGGCCGCCCTGCAATAACAAAAGCTAGGTTCACCTCATTAAACTTATTACCTCTATTTCTACATTAAACATCTCACCATCATATTAATCAAATATGTAGATCAATGATCCTTATTTCTTGTCATCAGTCATAGTTTATATCAGATCTCAATAACCTTAATATTTGGGTGACTATTTATAAGAAAAAGGAAAATGAACAGATATAGAAAATAATCATCAACTACAATACATACAAATCACTTCAAAACAACATATCATTTTACATGTAGAAGAAACACTGTACCCTTCTTATATTGTGGTGCTTGTGAAAATAAAAACACACCAGACAGTTTTAAATCTACAGAGATTAGCCTTTATCTAAGGACTACAATGTTGTTACAATCTTTACCAAAACATGTTTCAATATGTTTATAAGGTAAATGAAGTAATTTTAATACAATATGCTAACTCTGAAACTTATGTTAATGTTAAATTTTGAATAAATTACAATATTATTCAAATTTTCATAAAAATGGCAAGTTTTGCATGTAGCATCAGGAAGAAATTTGTGAAAATGGCAGACTGAATTAATCATGTTCCTAAACACAATAATAATGGCAAGTTTTGCATGTTTAAACATTTAAAAATTTTAATAATGGTAAGTTTGGCATATCATTTCACAAAGAAAATTGTGATAATGGCAAGTTTTACATCTGTTAAAACACCAAGAAAATTGTGATAAAGGCAAGTTTGCATAATTATGTTAACACCAAGAAAATTGTGAATAAGTTTTGCATATAAATATCACAGGAAAATTGTGCTGGCTGCAGGTTTAACATGATTAATTATATTGACACTCAGACTTTGTGATCAACTCACATGAATGTCTCCACCCCCTGGTTTATAATTTACATTTCTCATGGAATGCACTTTAGACTGAGTACGCCAGTTTAACTTTTCATGACGAATCTACAGAAATAATCAAGTTGGTCAAATATAGAATACCATGCTTCATTTAATTATGTAATATAAAGAGCATCAAAACACAAGGCTATCTGATTTGTACAAGTGTTTTGATGTTCTTTCTCTTTTGTATCATAGTCAAACAAATAAACATGTTCCCTGTTGTCACAATATGAATCCCCAGAAAAAAGTAACCAATGAACGAGCATCTGAACATGATATTTCTATCACCTTCCCTTTCTCTGCCGTCACAATAAGTAAACCCCAGCAAAAAGGAACCAATCAATGGGCATGCTCTGGAGTGTGGGTAACTAATACCTGCACTCCAGTTAACGCACTGTGCATGTATATGTATAAGATTTAACTCTGACACATTTTCAACAGAAAGGTCTCCAAACTATGATACAAATGACTGATAGTGAATCAAAATAAAATAAATTTGTCTTGTACTGTGGTAATGATAATGCCTACATCACATTTATCTCTAGTACTCTATACTGCTGGCTGCTCAATAATTGAAATCTCTCAAACTTATATTATGCGAGCCTCTGGTGGGCATAATATCATTTCATTCAACGAGTTCAATAATTTAGTGATGACCTTACACAAATTTAATATTCTTTTTATCACATACCAAAAATAAAGACCGTTTAAAGTGAAAAAGAATCATTTTTCATTGACGCTCCTATAGTATAACTGTAACATTTGGCACATCTTAAGGACGTTTTCGGGAGTTTTCATATAGACAAAATTAAAACTGTTCCATAGAATTTCTTTAAACTTGGCATGTTATTGGTGACCCCAATTTTTTTTTCGCTTAAAATGTTTCTGTTATCATATTCTAACAACATGCCAAGTTTAAAGAAATTCTATTGAACAGTTTTAATTTTGCCTATATGTCTATATGAAAACTCCCGAAAACGTCTTGAACGCTATGTTTGTATTAGGAAAATGATGTAACATCAAAATATATGCACGGCCATTTTTAATGAGTCGCAAAAGCGGTACGGGTATGTGATAAATAACATAATTTTTACAGTGACTAAAAAATTACAATATGTACATGTATAATATCTTTATAGAAAGAAAGAAATTAAATCTGAAACATAACTTTAAAACCAAATACAACTGGTAAATTAACACAAACTTCAAAAAGTATAAAATAATTATAAAGATAGGCCGCTTAATGCTTTTGACTTTTTTTTTCCTTAAAAGTTGTGTTATTTTCTAGTCAACAGGTTGTTTACATATTTTTATGCCTTAATGTTTTAACATTAATTTACTCAGGCCACTATGACATAGTAGATTTAACCTAAACATTTATAAATGTTTATAATTAAATGTTCAAACTCTGCCAAATGGATAAATAGTGGCAAAATAGTAATATATTTTATATGCAGTAGGTATAAAATTTCACTTTATTACGAAAATGTGATTATGTCATTTAATTTAAGAAAGTTTATAATTTAGTTGAAAGAAAGACTACATTGTTTGCTACCATAGCAAGCTACATGACTCTGTCAATGTGACATACATAATTTATGCAATTCTGAGTTTATCAAGCAATATTATATGCTCTAATCTAGTATAAACTATGTTCTCTTTAAAATATTTACTATAAAGCTTGTTTATTTCACTTAAAATACAAATCCAGACCTTACGAAATCATTTTTACTGCCATTTAGAACAAAGAGGCAAAAGAAACTATCAACAACCACAATAAAATAGGAATAATAAATGAGCCGTGTCACGACAAAACCAACATAATGGGTTTGCAACAAGCATGGATCCAGACCAGCCTTCCCATCCGCGCAGTCTGATCAGGATCCATGCTGTTCGCTATCAGTTTCTCTACTTGTTATAGTATTTGTAAGCGAACAGCATGAATCCTGATGAGACTGCGCGGATGCGCAGGCTGGTCTGGATCCATGCTGGTCGCAAACGCAATATGTTGGTTTTGTCATGACGCGGCTCAAATATACTATAATGTACTAAGATAAAGCATTCTAAAAAGAACAACATTAATTCTATAATATGTTGTTTTTACTTTCACATGTCCGCCACCAGGAACATGGTCGGCATTTACAAGAGACTCAACTTTAGGTGCAGCCGTCCATACTGGCTTCTCATCGACAATCTAACAATATCAAGTTCACATTTATATTTTTTTATGTACAACAATTCCAGTAGGAAAATACTTGTAGCATTAGGGCCTGGTGCAGTATTTATCTTCAATATTATTTGATATATCACATGGTAACAACAAGGCCAACTTATTTCAAGAACACAGTACAATGTAATTAAAATATCTTTCACTTTCTTGTACCTACAATTTGCCATTTATAACATTAAACACTCATAAAAATTGGTCTCATGTAATTTATGACATAACATTAATTTTTGTAAACAAAACAGTCAAAATGAGGGTTGGTGCGAAACAGTTGTAACTAATTATGACATAAATGGAGTTACAACTGTTTTTCACCAAACTAAAGAAATACCGGTAGTCTAATTTAACTGTTTTTGATCAATAAGGAAATGTGAATTTTGTACAACTTAGTAAGTAAATTATTATGGCATTATGTGACTGGATTCATAATATTAAAAACATGATTTAGTTTGAATTACACCAATATTGTACAAAAAAGAAACCTTTTTTTTTAACATTATAATGACTTATAGACTATACATCATTTAATATGTTTAATTTCTTGAAAATACCTACCCACAAAATTTCCTGTATAAAATATTTATTATAAGTAACAAGCAGTGCTGCTCAAAAATCAAATATAAAGCTAGAATTTGTTATATGACAATTTGTTATATATAATAGCAAACAAAATAAAGCCATTTTATTAGTGTAAAAGCCTTGCAAATGCAGGATTTTAATCATTCCAATCCTACAACTATGCAACCAAGCTTAATAAAGGGAAAAATATTAATAATCACACAATTTGTTAAAAAACACAAAATCATATAATGTTACCTCCGACAGAAGACTACTGTTACTATGTATGTATAAAATAAGATACGTTTGAACGTTCTTAACACAATTCCCTCATACCCATAATTTAGAGACTACAAATTGTGCTCTATTAGAAAAAAAACAACAACAAATTTTGAAAATATTATTCTGGGGTCAAATTTATATTCAAATGAAAGAAAAAAGAAAATCTCGAAGATTTTTGACTGCAAACATGAAGGCTCTAGCTTATAGAGACCAAGGTTGAAGTAATTTGCAGATAGGACAAAAAAAACATCCAGGCCTAGAGGTTATAATATGAAACTTTCCGAGTTCTTTCTCAAATCTAAGTGTTTTAATTGGTCAGTGAACAATCTGTGGCTGTTTCTGATCAATGAAATACCTTAGATCTGAGACTGAGCTAAAAGATTTTCTTTATAATCTGATCTATTGACACAGATGTGTTCTGAAGGATAGACAAAAGTGTCGGGCACTACCAAGTCAACATTACTGGGCTGTGAAGAAATTCTTATATTGTGACTGTATGGAGTGAAAAGTCAAACCTACTTTCACATTTCCACCAGTTGGTACATGATCAGCATTTTCTAATGATTTCACTTTTGATGTGGTTTCCCACTTTAGCTTTTCATTATGGATCTGTTAAAATAAAAGAATAGACACACAATTCTCAAAACAAGAGCATTTCTTGGTGTGAATCTGTAACTCTGTATAACACCTGAAATCTTTATAATTCACATGAAAGTTGTGTGATGGTTGAAAATGCCATGATTGATGAAAATGGTGAAGATATAAAGATAAAATATGTAAAGATAATGTGATGAAAATGGTGAAGATATTGATACAAAAAACATTGAAGATATTGATATAGAAATGGTAAAGATATTAAAATGCCATACAGGGTAAGTTACTTTACATATAAATGTTTAAAAAAAACTTTATGTGATTCAAACATAACCAATGGCCTTCAGAGAAACTGGCTTAGATGTGTTGAAAAGGGAATAACTTTTGTGGCATTAGATTGTCACTGGCCAGAAGAATGACAACACTGTACAGGTAACAGAATTGTCAAATCAGGTTTTAAACAGCTAACACTAAATTTTGATTGAGCTAATGTACCAGAAATTTTTTTAAAAAGTGACATATTTATGTCAAAATACAATTTAAAGTGGTGAGCTAGCAGTATATGGGTTCAAACCCAGACAGGGGTAAGACATTGTTTCATAGAGCAATAAACTTTACACTCATTGCTTAGTACTGGTTGATTCCAGGAATGGATTGGCTAGTGTGTCTATAAGGTTATAGATATAAGGTTTAACAATGGAACTAGAGTATAAACTAACTAACATGACTGTTTGAAGTGGATGAATTGATGATGGAAGGAAAGATAGTACAGTGAAAACTGTATGGTTATTTGTTTTAAAGAGATTGCAGATTTTATTTTACTGAAGTACAATTCACTTTTACCTTATCATTTCATATTGAATAATTAGGTCACAATATTCATACATGTAGCCAAAATCAAGAATAATTCAATAAATGAATTATTTTATTTTATTAATGTATCAAAAAAATATGATAAGAAATTTAAGCAGTTATAAGTTCTAATCAATACTTAAATTTACAATATTATAAATTCCTTTTCTCCATACTTTACATTATAATGTAAGTTTTAGTAAGATGTTTCAATTTCAGATGAGAAGTTACAAACTGAAATCAATACAAAGGTCAAAATGCTCCTGTTCACTCATGGCAAGGTGCCTCACCTGGGGTAAACTTTCTTATAGTCATTGTGCTGGAAACTTAACAACAGGTAATCAAAATACAAGTTAAAATCAAAAATTTAAAATGTTTTGTTAGTCCATTTTGGTGACCAACAACATTTTTCACAATCATATTTTACTTTTCCAAACCAAAATCTTGCCAGAATTTTCAGCAACTATGACCATAAAAAAGTTTTGTCTTGCAGCAAATTATATTGAATTCAGCAAAGAATTATTATTATATAAAGCAATTATCTTGCATTTCTAGCATCAGGAGTTTATAATGATCAGTATTATCACTGTGAAATCATTTAAGTTGTGAATCTTGTAACAAGCACTTTATGTATGTCTTATTTTAATACATTAATCCACTTGTTTACAAACATCAAGTAACGGTATCCATTTCACCATTTGTTAATAATGGCTATTAGTCCCCAAACCATTCCACCAAAAAAATAGCTGCATGAATTAATTTATTCATGAATTAAACTTTTTAAAATGAATTTCTAATTATGTATCAAATTATTTATGATAATCAAATGCTTGTGGTAGGTCTTATACTTCCTAACATTAAAATTTTTGTTTATGTTTATCAAAACTGCAAACATTAAATGATTTCACAGGGGGAAAAGATTGGCATAGCATTGGAACAAATAATAAAAAAATATGCTTTCCAATATGCAAATCAGTCCTCATAGCTGTATTGGTTATATAACTTAGAAATTTTTAGTAAATTGTCAATATGACCACTTACCACAATATCACCACCACCTGGCTTATGTTTAACTTTGTCCAATGACCCGACCTTTGACCTTGCAGTCTCCTTGAACTCAAGTTTCTGTGATTCTATCTGGAAGCGGTAAAATAAAAACAAGATTGCATTTGAGAAAAATGCTATGCCACCGCATTAATACCTAAGCTCTAGGCCTTTTGGGCATTTACAAGAAGGTATTTTTAAGTTTTTGAAGCCTTGTACCTTGTACCTACAGACAATAAGATTTTTTTATTTTTTACTATATGTATATATTGAAAATCAATGACCCCCGGGGCGGGGGCAATTTTGACCCCAGGGCTATAATTTGAACAATCTTGCTAGAGGTTCACTACACAATGTTTCATGCAAAATATCTAACCTCTAGCATTTGTCAACTGCTAGAAGAAATTTTTTTTAAGTTTTTACTATATACATATAACGAAAACCAATGACCCCCGGGGCAGGGCCGATTTTGACCCCAGGGCTATAATTTGAACAATCTGGGTAGAGGTCTACAACACAATGCCTTATGCTCTAGGCCTTTTGGGTCTTTACAAGTAGGTATTTAAAGTTTTTACTATATGTACATATAGTGAAAATCAATGACCCCCGGGGCGGGGCCACTTTTGACCCTAGGGCTATAATTTGAACAATCTTGTTAGAGGTCTACCAGGCAATGCCTTATGCAAAATATCTAAGCTCTAGGCTATTTGGGTCTTTACAATAAGATATTTTAAGTTTTTACTATATGTACATATAGTGAAAATCAATGACCCCGGGGCAGGGCCGATTTTGACCCCAGGGCTATAATTTGAACAATCTTGGTAGAGGTCTACCAGACAATGCCTTATGCAAAATATCTAAGCTCTAGGCCTTTTGGGTCTTTACAAGAAGATTTTTTAAATTTGTTCTTATAATTCCTTTTGGTTGCCATGGCAACCAGATTTCTGCATGGAATGAAATTCTTTGAACAACTTTGGAAGCCCTTTACCCAAGGATCAATCCTGCCAAGTTTGGTTGAAATTGGACTATTGGTTTTTCACAAGAAGATTTCTTACGTTCACTATTATATATAATCTATATAACAATGACCCGGGGCGGGGCCTATTTTGACCCCAGGGCTATAATTTGAACAATGTTGGTAGAGGTCTACCAGACAATGCCTTATGCAAAATATCTAAGCTCTAAGCTATTTGGGTCTTTACAATAAGGTATTTTAAGTTTTTACTATATGTACATATAGTGAAAATCAATGACCCCGGGGTGGGGCCGATTTTGACCCCAGGGCTATAATTTGAACAATATTGGTAGAGGTCTACCAGACAATGCCTTATGCAAAATATCTAAGCTCTAGGCCTTTTGGGTCTTTACAAGAAGATTTTTTAAATTTGTTCTTATAATTCCTTTTGGTTGCCATGGCAACCAGATTTCTGCATGGAATGAAATTCTTTGAACAACTTTGGAAGCCCTTCACCCAAGGATCAATCCTGCCAAGTTTGGCTGCTGGTTTTTCACAAGAAGATTTTTTAAGTTCACTATATAATCTATATAACACACACACACACACACACACACAAACAAACACACACACACACAGGTGAATCTATATGCCACCGCATCGCAGATGCTGCAGTGGCATAAAAACATGCTTGAACTGTGTGGTAATACATAAATTGTGTTTTAACTACTGGTATAAGAGACTGAACTCCTGGGATGATGATATAGTATGTGTTATGCTAGAAAGAACAAAGCCCACAATGTATAAGAGAAAAAACTAGACAGCAGGAACACAAGATCAATGGATTTCACAAGTAAAATATTGTAATATACAAGGTGTAACAAACTTCAAAGCAACATCAGGGGTCAAAACCATCTCACCTGCTGGAGCTAAGAGATGCATAGACTCCAATTATTTTAACCAATTTAGTCACCGCTTATGATCACTCAGGGATAAACAGTGTCTGCAATTCTTATGCCTCATTGAAATTTAAGGCAACCCCTAAGCTACAAGACTTGAGACTTACAATGTTAGAGTGTTAGCCCTTATGAGGATTTGCCTATTTATAAAGCCTAGTCATCTATACATACTAACTCTTTACTATAGGTCGAGTATTTTCATACTGAAATCCCCTCAAACTACAAATGGATTGTTCCAAATTCAAAGCAGGATTACTCCATTATAAAAATTCAGCAGGGAAAGGGTTAACATTTATATCACCTATACCGTCTTTTTGCCAAGGAAAATTATATAAAGCATAGAAATCTTGCAAAAGCTTTAAAAAGCAAAATAACTGCCACAAATAAAAAATATTTTGTATAATATAATGACTTTTAACAATTGATATTTAGATATAATCAATGAATGTTTATAAAACAAATAGTATCTTCACTACCTTTTTATCACCTCCACCTGGTTTATGTTTTAAATTTGCCGTAGATCCCACCTTTGAATGTGCTTTAATTTCAATTTTCTGGTCCAAAATCTATAAATAGCAGCAAAACAAAACTCATTTAAACAAAGCAAAAGAAAAATAAACAAATTGATTATCTAATCTGATCCACCTGTCTGGAATTCATTCTCCCAATAATTACAACATATGTAGAAAAGATTTGGGATAATACAGTATCAAGAAAGTCCCCATGTATCATTTTACATATACACATGTAAATAGTGATGAATAATCATGATTAATCAACCATGCATGAAATAATGAATATTAATGATGTAAAGTTAATACATTAAAGTAATTAGTAGAAATTATAAAGGAATTATAATTACATGTTGAAAATGGAGTAACTATCACTTTTAAAAAATAAAATTTAACTTCACCAAATATTTGAACACAAGTTAATGTGTTAAATTAATATAAAAGACCAATTAAAAACAATTACTTATGCTTTGATGTTTTGACAAAGAAAAAGAAAGAAAATGCATGAAGATGACTAAATTTTTAAAACTTATGAAGAAGACCTTTTTAGAAACTAATTCTGTAACAATTCTATAAATACAACTTAATCATAAAATATAATATGTAGTCCTTTTCCTTATACAGCCTTCCTTCAAAATATTTTCTTTAACAGATGTTTTTCTTTTACTATGTTTTCTTTAAGATTCTGAGCAAATAAGATGTCATTTGTTTAATTCAAATTATAATCCACGTCTCACACACCCACACACACACACGCACACACTATAAATATAAAACTAAGTAAGAATCAAAGCTAAAGCTAGTGGAAAAAATTTATAACTATATATAACCTTAATTTTATCCAAAAAAATGAAACAAATCAGCAAATTTTTTTCTTAATTTACAAATTCTTTCCACTGACCCATCACCAGTTTTAACAGCAATGTACCATGTAAAACAATTATCCTTTCTTATCTTTTTCTTAATTGCATTTACAAATAAAGGAAAAGTAAGCACAGGCCTGAATTCAGATGTAACCATGTGGATGTATTCTTACATTTTAGCAAAATTTTAGAAACAAATATTAAATAATTAATATCTACTGTAATATACGGTACTTAAAAGTCACTATAAAAATTTTAATGCTTCACACTGATTGACAAATAATGAACATTAACTAATCTTGTACATGTATATAGTATTTTGTTAAAATTAAAGTGTTAAAGTGACTTTTTATTTAAGAAACTAATAATTTTGTTACATCTGAAATTCTGGGTTATCAGTGTTACACCTATCACAGACTATCTACATAACACTAACACATATACATGTAAACAATTTGACATCACTCACACAAAAATATCACCTTAGTGACTTGATATAAAAAAAAAATAACAAAAAGTAGTCATGCTTAAGAAATTTTTTGGCCCCCATTCAAATGACATAGTCTGAAAACAATTGCTTGAAAATTATCTTTGTTGTTAAGTTAGTGACTTTACAACAAAAAAAAAACCCAAACCCAAAACACCAGTTCTTTTACACAATACTCTATAAGTCCTTTAATTCAAAAGTTCATCGGACGGCCTCAAATTTAATTTTTTCCAATTCTTCATAAAATTCTAGTTTCATTTCAAAAGTAAATTATCAAATAAATGAAACAGCAACTTGTACCATACTACATGGTGTATTTTATTTCAATCTTTGTTTCAAAATAAAAAACAAGATATAACAGACCAACAAGATGGTTTATAGTTTACCAATGTTTAATATTTGCATGCCAACACTTGTTGGAAAAGTGTCTGTTGCTGTTTAAATCTAAAATCTCATAGTCTTTGCTTTTCACAGTTTTCATTCAAGTTTAGATAAAATCGTTTTTATGAGTCATATCAAAATTATTTCTAGGCCAAAAACTATCTAATAGCTTGGCACACCCAAACACATCCCAAAAACATGAGTAAAACTAGTGCACTTATTCTCATATACTTTAACTCTGCCACCGCCCGACCTATAATGCGCATTGTCTAATGAACCAACTCTAGCATTGGCAGACCAACTCAATCTTTGACTGACTACCTACAGGCATAGAAATATACACTCATGTTTTCTAGACAATTTTATAAATTTTTTATGTTATCCAATTCTTTATATTTTATATAACATATACGTAAAAACACAGGGTAGATCATATTTAGAAATGCATTAACAATTGAAATTTTACCATATGAACTAACTTACACAAACTATGGGTAAACACAACAAATATTGACGTAAACATCAAACTTAACTTAGAAATTACTGGTACAGAAAATGTCAAAGTGTGTTTCTCATCAACTAACAGTAGGTGAAGTTTAAAATAAAATACATAGTAATAAACTAAATGTCTAGAAAATGACTGTACTTTAACGTTACCACCGCCTGGGGAATGAGTCGCGTTTTCAAGAGATCCAACACGTGACTTGGCTGACCATGACAGTTTTTGACTAACCACCTGTGAAATATGGCAGACAAATTTCTTAAGTTAGACATTTTATATTAACTATATATATAAACATCCCATAGGTGACAGTATTTTTTTTTATATTTAATTACCTGAATCAAATACCCTGGAGTTCACAAAACATGAAATCATATCAAATAAAACAAAGTATGTTTCTTTCTGTTTCTTACAATGGGATGTTAACTGTTTGATTGTTTTTTATCAATTCAAATAATACACATTTTTTGTAAACATTTGCTATGAATAATCATTCAAATATATACAGTCAAACCTTTATAAAATCAACTGTATAAAGCAAATAAGAAAAAGTTACTAATCTGGTTAGACAAGTTTATCAAAAAAAATTAAACAGTAAAAAGGGAAAAAAATATATTTAATAGAAAGTTCATTGCATTTATAATTTCTGTAGAAGCTGCTTATTGCTGAAGATTAATTATAATACTTAAATTATTTTGTTCAATAATTATAGGTGGTTCAATTTGAAGTTGTGTTGTTTAAAACCAAGGTTTGACTGTACTTATGATGCTATACATAAATGTTTAACGTGAAACATGCTATAACAAACACTATCTTAACTAAATGTTACATAGATAATTAACTGCAGACTCAGTGTAAAACAGTTGTATTTTCTATTTCAACTTTTTTTTTAAAATTAGCCTGCAAAATATATAATTATAAAAGCTCACACAGGTATATGATAAAATATTGGTATTTGACATTACTTTATATATAAAAAAGCTAACATACAGCTAATCTAACAAGTATAACACACTTCATTATAAACCTCTCAGTAAATACAACAGATAATCCATATTTTAAACATGTATTCTATAAATGATGCATATTTGTAAATATACTAAAATTTCAATGTAATGTATTCACTTCCAAAACAAAACAAATGAACAATTAAAAATCTAAAAAAAAAAATTCAGATCAGTCAAAACTTATTGATTTTCTCCATGTTCTGGTAAAAATATGCAATGCAGCAGAAATAATTCTTTATATATATAGTAAAGAACTTGTAGATATACTCTTGTATAGACTGAGGTTATTTATTCTAACTACAACAGGCATGCTATATAATGATGTGCATATTATCACCATATCTTCATGTGTATTTGAGTGCCCTGAATGACCTCTTGTGTTGGAAATTGTGTTCAATGTTCTAACACTTTCACCTTCAAACACTCCAGGACATAATCCTGAACTAGTTCTAAATCTCTCAAAAGAATCAAATTTCAATGATTCATTATTTTTAGATATTTCTAAAGAACCATTTCCAGCGTCATCATATAGTCCTGATACAAAATCTCCTGTCATTTCTCTTCCACTTGTTGGTTTAGTAGATAGCAAACTACGTTCATTCTCTGAAGTTATTTCCATTGGACTCTTCTTTACATCATCAACTGGTGCTGATTTCAAATCAATCAGTTTAGTATACCTTGCTAAGTTTCTTGCAGATTCTCTATCTGATCCTCTCAAAATGTTTCCTGACCTCATATTGACAGCTCCACCTCTTACCATCATACTTTGGGTCCTGTTTGACCTTCCAAACAACGGTTGGGTGTTTTTGGACAGGTTGTCATCACTTAGGTATCTTCTCATTCCATACTTTTCACCAAAACCATTCCCTTTTCTCTCTTCTTCTGCTTGCATCCAGATTGGTTTTACTGAAATCTTAGGGGTTCCAGGTCTCGACCCTGTCTCAGTACCCTCATGTCTTCTGGGTGTCTTTAAAAGAGAACTCTCATTATCATGCATGTTAGCCAATACTGCTCTTAACTCCTCATCCAAGGTCAGCTCATGTTCGATTTCTTCTTGATCCAAATTTGATTTCCTTTCACATTTTGTGACAGTCTTATGCATCACCTTATTTTCAATATTATCAAATACATCTTTTTCAAAATTATTTCTTTCACCTAATCTATTTCTATTATTTTCTGGATTATTTGCATTTCTTTCCAAAACATTTTCAGTTTCATTTTTATCATCTGAAACTTTCATATTCTCCAATTTATGTACAAGAGCATATCCAAACTTATCGTGAGTTGGTGCAGATTCCTTCTTTGCGATGAAGACTTGATCAACACCTTTCTCAACATCAGTCCTTTCGTCAATACTTAGACAAGTCTCTGCTATCTTTTCATGTTTAATTATATTCAGTGGACTAGTTGGTCTCTTATCCATCTTGTATTTGAATGTTGTAGTTTGAATCCCTTTTTGAGATTTCCTGTTACTGTTAACTGTAAACTCTGCTACACTTGTATGTCTTTCTTCTTCAATGCTTTCATCAGTATCATCATCTTCGTTAGGACTCTCTGTATCTTCATCAGAAGCAACATCATCATATTCATAGCCTTCATTCACAAAGCCATTTACTGGACTTTTCTCTTGCATCTTTACATATTTTGTCTCATTCAAAATGGTTAAACCATCCACACACCTACCATTTTTAATATCTGCAACATTTGCTCCAAAATCAATATCTTGATAATCACTAACAACTCCTTCATTCACACTAATCATTTGTACATTTTCACAACAAAGAAGATCAAGTCTATCATTTTCATCTGTTATACATTCCATAGTTTCAACATTCATTTCTTTGTTTCCAAATCCTGATTTCCGTTTCAAAGTTGGTGAACCTGTCATTATTGTTGGTTTTCCTCCTTTCTTTGCCAACTTCGGGCTTTTATATCCCAAATTTGCAAGCTTTTCTATTGGCTCACCCTTTTCCATATGTTTCTTTTTCAGCACATTTTTACAGCTTTCTTTCTTTGATTCTTTGTCTTTTTCCTTTATAATTTTCCCCTTTTTTGACAATATAGGACTATGATATCCTAAATATTTAACCATAAGCTCAACTTCTTTCTGCTCTTCATTGGCAAATTCTTTAAGCTTCTTTCCCTTTACACTGATTCTATTTGAATTTGAACGATTAATATTATAACTGGTACTTGAAAAGCGATTTTCTTTGTCATTCTCTTTTGCTTGTTTCTTCTTAGAATTAGAGAACAAACATCTCATTTTATTTACAAATCCTGACTTTTTCTTGGATTTGTTCAGTGAAATATCTACATTTTCTTTCCCATCACATTTTTCTATAACCATTCTTTCTAACACTACAGTATCTTCCTTGTGGTCAACTGATTCCATTTCACTTTCATTTTCATTTGTTATATCATTGATTGGAATATGGAAATTGTTTCTATCATCCTTGATTTTAGTCTCTTGTTCTTCCACCTGCTTGGATTGATTATCAGATACATTTGTGTCTTCCTGACGTTCAACAAAATCTCTTTTCCTCAATATTTCTTCCAACTCTTCTTCTGTAAATGTTAAAATTTCCTTTTCATCTGATTTGCTAGTATCAACTTTTTCATGTCCCCAATCTTCATGAATGCATCTTGGTGGTTTGGGTGGTGGAGGTGGTCCCTGATTCCAATCCTGTTGTATAACTTTGGCTGTATCAGTATTATCTAATACCCCATCTGTTTGATCTATGTCAGGATCTTTTATTACTTTTGAGTCAACAACTTGAGATCTTAATGGTTCTATTTGAGTCTGATCCCTTTTAATATCTGCTGCAGACTGGTACTCAACTTCTGGGACTGGTTCCAAATAGGAGTGATTAAATCTTTCAGGGACTGGTTCTATAGTAATAGAAACTTGCTGCTTTGAACTGTCATATCTCTGCAGGTCAGATTTAACTGGAATATTATCATTCTGGATTTTGTCACTCTTTCTTTGTAGGCCAGTATCCACTTTAGGTTCTGCTTTCCAGTGTAGTCTCTCACTAAATATCTACAAGCAAAAATTACAATTCTTTATTTGAAGTAAGAAAAATAAATTATCTGTAGAAATATGATAAATATAAACTAAGAATGAATTATTATATTTCTTGATCAAACAATTCTTTTAAAATGTTTATGTATAAATGTATGATGGCTGAAAACTGACTGCAGATCAGAATAAACTTTGTGAATATAAATAATAAGATAGAAATCATTACTCCACCTTGACACACCCCCCTCCTGGCTCATAGTCAAGATTATCAAGTGTGTTAACTTTGGCATCAGCATCCCAATCTAAATCTTCTTCATAAGGCTCTGGAACCTGCATAAAGGTATTTATATTATATTTACTTCACCTCTTATCCTTCTCAATATCTAAAATGAACATTGTCAATTTTTTTCTTGTCCATTATCAATTTTTTTGGATATTATGATGAAAAATAAAAGATGGTCAAAAATACACAAATGTACAGCCTTAAGTGTCCCTATATTGGTGGCAAGGCTAATTATGTTTGGTTAAAGCAGAGAGGGGTGTATCTGTATATGACAAATATGACACAAATTCACAAGAATAGTTTAAAATTACAGAAATTGACATTGTTTTTGTTTTCCTTTCAAAATTAAAATCAAAACGAAGTGAGAAAAATATGTATGACAGGATGTTTTTTTTACAATGTTTATGAAAGGGATACCCAAAAAGTGATTATTGTATAATTATGATACGTACATTTCCTCCCCCTGGTTGATAATGAATGTTCTCCCTTGTATTCATTGTTCCAGTTACATAACCAATGTTGTCCTACAATATATCAATTATATTCTGTTTCCATGGTTACACATGTAATCATAACTTAATTTACAATTACGAAACCAGAATTAACATGTAATTTATATAATATTACCAAACCATAATCTTAGATATTTCACCTTTAACCATACATGTATTTAGCAGGTTTTTTATTGATCAATTGTGTTGCTTCTTACTTTACAAAGTCAACCCCACCACAAAATGTTTAAGTTCTTTTGACTGTGACATTGTTTTTATTAAACCATCTGATTGAATTCACCCAGTCACAATAAATCACAAATGTAGAATATGAAATATAATAGTATATTGTATAATTATAAAACAGATCATTTAAATAAAAGAATTGTTCATTTTGTTCTTAATATAGCTGGTACATTAAATCTTTATAAAGTTATAATAAGCAAACTTCACAACCATGCAAGTTATCATGTTTATATAGTATATATTATGCTCTAGGTGCTGATGAATATAAATGAAATTATAACTTACCTATATTGTTGCTTCTACCGATAAGATACAACCAATTCTTCTTCACACATTTTCAGCATAGTCAATATATTTGTTTTTGACTTACAAGCTTGATCTTTTCAATATTTATGAATGCAGCTGCTCACCATTTTCTTTGAAATTACTGTTGTTTTATTGTTGTTTTTTTTTTCCCTTATACTTTTCTTATACGCACATTGTACAAACAAAATGACTCTTCCCTAAACTATAATGAGGATTCAGTCTGAATACCTTCAATAACGCTGTTATATCAAATTTTTTTGAATATTGAATTTTCATGTCAGAAGCTGCATCACTACATGTCATGATGTGTGAAACAGTAGGAGTTAATCTATGACAAAACAATCTTTCAAATTTTAAAACCAGTTTAATTACATCTTTACTCTTACACAGTATCATATATCATTGTCCTTGTAATTTTATAATATACTTATCTAATACTATAATCACATATATAAATTTGTAAACACATTTTCAATATTTTATAAGTGTACAAAACAGCATGCATCAGGGTTGTATTCTCACACATCACAACTTGCATCCTTCTCAATCTCATTAAAATATGACGTAAAATAGTCACTACTGACAGCAGGAAAAATTAAAATGGAAAGTAAAAAATATTCACCAGCAACGAAAGTAAAAATGTAATAAAAATCATTGAAGGTAAAAAAAGTAGGTAGTGACAACAAGGTGATGCAGTCAGCAGATACTAAACTAGCTGATGACAAAACACTTGACTGAAGCAAGGCATATATAATGAAATTCAAATGTTAAATCATTTATCATAAATTATCTTGTTACAAATGGAAAGTTTAATATCAATTAAAGAAAAATAAAATGTTTTACTTTGATTTTTGCCTAAGAACCTAAAAAGAAAGTCTTAGAATATACAAAGGTACATCATGACATTTCTTTAAAGTTTAGTTTAGTAGAAAAAAATGTTTTTCCATTAATGATTTGTTTTAGCTGATAAATTTGTAGCTTCATCTGTGATTCCAAGTTGAGCTACAATAAATAAAAATTCTTAAGGCATCAAAAAGTATGATTGTTTCCAGTGTATAAACCTATCTTATCTTTCACTGAGAACACAGACATTTTAGAAGCCTAGTACCAATTATAATTCTACTTTAAATTCTTTTTTCTTTGATAATTGTATATGACCTATGTAATGTGAAGTAAAAAGCACTTAGCTTCATGAGAAATAGACAGTATAAAGTAATACAAGAATATGTAGTAACTGGTACAATGCTCCATATTCTTGTGTTTCCCAGGCTACAACAGCAGACACAATAATACATATTGTGTGAAAATTACCATCTGCCTCCCTTTTAATAAAATGCCTACCAGGCTACCCGATTTTGATGATGGAAACAAATACCTTTTTGCCTAAAAATAATCATATAATACAGACAGCATACTTTCAAATTTCCTCCTCCCGGCGTATGTTTCATGTTCTTTAAACTGCCAATTTTTGAGTCCGTCTGCCAGATTAATTTTTGACTTTCTATCTGTTAAAAAAAGCCACACACAAAAGAATTGAAAAATTTATCTGTTAAATTCAATGCCATATCCATTTCCTGTAAAAGTAACACTGAAATTTTATTCGTGCAAAATAAAGAATACAAAATGAATGCAAAAGCTGATCAATTTTTTGTGTCAACTAAATAAAGCGCCACACAGTATATAGGTTGTAGGTACATGTATGATTGTATCTACATTATTACTATACTTAGGTAAATTTCTATATTGAAGCAAGCTTAAAAACACAATTATTTTTAACACCACAAGGCGAAATAGATGCATCACTAGTTAAATATTTAATTTCCCCAATAATTGCCAATGTCCAGGTAAATGTTCAAAATTAAAATTGAGCATTTACTTTCAATTTCATCATAAAATTTACTGCAATTAACATTTCAAATTTTGATAAAGCACCTTGGTATATACCTTTGAACAATATTCCAGGAATGAGTAAACCACAGGTTACTATATTTATTGCTTTGGGCTAGCTTTTATAGTTAAAATCTACTGACATCAATGCTCAATGTTATTCATTTAAAACCATTCCTAGATAACATGTTTCAATCAATTCTCTGACAATTTCCAGCACACTAGCATTCATGGCCAAATCTTACAATCTATCACCTGATTGGTCAGCAGTAAACACCAGTTCAAAACTGATCAATGACCAACTGTCATTCAACAAAACTTCTCTCACAACTATTTGTGATCTTTATCTGCAAGACTTGTTTCAATAACCTTTTTTTCTAACCATTTTGTAAATATACAATATATATCTCACAGCAAACTGATAATAATTTAATAAAGCTAAACATTATAAAAACCTATTCTAAGCAGATTGGAAAACCAAACGTGAAATAAAATCTTGATCACTTACCTTTTTATCACCTCCCTTTGGTTTGTGGTCAATTTTGTCCTTAGAACCAACTTTACTTTGAACATTGGAAAAATCTACTTTTGCATGCAATACTTTAATCTGTAAGAAATGATAAACAACACTTATTTTCTGTAATGATATTATAAGTTATTAATTTATAAAAGATGTTTAAGATGATTAACATTATAAATTATGAGCTATCATTATGTAATACATTTTTACAATGATCATATAAGATATTAATCTGTCAGACATGTGTTGGATATACACTGAATAATCAAAAGATTGCACTGGTTCTTCAGTAACTTTGTTTTATTTCTGATTACCGGAAGTCATCTCATATCAATGATGTCAAACATAACAACATATAGAAAGGTGCGTCACGCTGATGTGACGCTAATATTGGCATATTATTCCATGTACATGCATATGTACTTTAAAACATCATTGTTTGACAAAAATATTAAAAGCTTTTAGTCTATAAGACATAGTGTATAATGATAAAGTATTAATCTGTTAAACATGTTTTACAATCTCATATCATAAGATATTAATCTATATGACATGTTTTACAATCTCATATCATAAGATATTAATCTATATGACATGTTTTATAATCTCATATCATAAGATATTAATCTATATGACATGTTTTACAATCTCATATCATAAGAATATTAATCTATATGACATGTTTTACAATCTCATATCATAAGATATTAATCTATTATGACATGTTTTACAATCTCATATCATAAGATATTAATCTATATGACATGTTTTATAATCTCATATCATAAGATATTAATCTGTAAAACATGTTTTACAATCTCATATCATAAGATATTAATCTATATGACATGTTTTATAATCTCATATCATAAGATATTAATCTATATGACATGTTTTATAATCTCATATCATAAGATATTAATCTATATGACATGTTTTATAATCTCATATCATAAGATATTAATCTGTAAAACATGTTTTACAATCTCATATCATAAGATATTAATCTATATGACATGTTTTACAATCTCATATCATAAGATATTAATCTATATGACATGTTTTATAATCTCATATCATAAGATATTAATCTATATGACATGTTTTTTACAATCTCATATCATAAGATATTAATCTATATGACATGTCTTTTTATAATTCATATCATAAGATATTAATCTATATGACATGTTTTACAATCTCATATCAAAAGATAAATCATGACAAATATCATATATTATCTATATGACATGTTTTACAATCTCATATCATAAGATATTAATCTATATGACATGTTTTATAATCTCATATCTCTATATGACATATAATCTCATATCATAAGATATTAATCTATATGACATGTTTTATAATCTCATATCATAAGATATGTTTTAATCTATATGACATGTTTTACAATCTCATATCATAAGATATTAATCTATATGACATGTTTTATAATCTCATATCATAAGATATTAATCTATATGACATGTTTTTATAATCTCATATCATAAGATATTAATCTATATGACATGTTTTATGATCTCATATCATAAGTATTTTTATAATCTCATATCATAAGATATTAATCTATATGACATGTTTTTATCAATCTCATATCAATCAGATCATAAGATATTAATCTATATGACATGTTTTACAATCTCATATCATAAGATATTAATCTATATGACATGTTTTACAATCTCATATCATAAGATATTAATCTATATGACATGTTTTACAATCTCATATCATAAGATATTAATCTATATGACATGTTTTACAATCTCATATCATAAGATATTAATCTATATGACATGTTTTACAATCTCATATCATAAGATATTAATCTATATGACATGTTTTATAATCTCATATCATAAGATATTAATCTATATGACATGTTTTATAATGATTTCATAACCAATTAATCTATATGACATGTTTTATTATGATATCATAACCTAGTAATCTATTTGACATGTTTTATAATGATATCATAACCTATTAATCTATCGGGCATGTTTTATAATGATATTATAACCTATTAATCTATAGGACATGTTTTATAATGATATCATAACCTATTAATTTTACAATAATATCATAAGCAGATGTCTAACAATGATGTTATAAGTTATCAATCATTTACCTTTCAATTTGTAACACATAAATTTAAATTCATTAAGTTTCTATGTGTTTATTTCTAGCTATTATGCATTAAACTAGAACTGGTTATATAAATTTTTCAATGGGGTTTTTACCCAAATTTCTTGGTACTTAACAGAGAGGTGTTGTTTATGTTGTTAAATGACATTGTGGAAAATGACAGCCAGTGTATGTCAGCCATAATGCTATCACTCAGAACTATGTGCTTCTAAGAGCTAATAGAAATTCAATACAATCATGTTAAGTAATAAATGTGTTTTTATTTTCATTCTCAAGTAATTTTCCTACCTGAACAATGGAACAAGACAAATACTTACATTACCACCTCCTGGTGAATGCTTCACATTATTTAGAGATCCTATCTTTGATTGCACATGTTTGGTGTTGGGAGTTGGAGCTTTTGGGAGAGAGGGAGCCCTGTCTGTAATAATCAACATCAAAATCAGTATAGTTTTTGGCATATTGCATCTATACCTATGTGACAAAGAAAGCATTTGAGCCGCGTCACGACAAAACTAACATGTTGCGTTTGCGACAAGCATAGACCAGACCAGGATCAGGATCCATGCTGTTCGCTTACTAAATCTATTACAAGTACAGAAACTGATAGGGAACAGCATGGATCCTGATCAGACTGCGCAGATGCGCAGGCTGGTCTGGATCCATGCTGGCCGCAAACACATAACGTTGGTTTTGTCGTAACGCGGCTCATTTACTACAGAGTAGAGTAACAGAAACACACAGCAGCAATAATGATACTTCTCCTCTAACCCTTCAATGTGATTTCATTGAAGTAGATATGATCAGACAATTCTTGGTTAGACGTATGTTATGAAATACTACATACTATTGTGTATTCAAGATAATTTCCAATGTTCTAGTCATCTTTATTGAAATTTCCTAAAATAATACTATCTATGCTTCCGACATGATTGCCTCTTCCCTGCATTAACTAAAATATCATGTCTTACATTATTGACCTTTGATACAAGGTGACATATATCAATTTCACATTTTATTCCAGGGTTGGCTTAAATTTTGACATAAAATTTGTGTTATCATATTTACAATAGATCAAGGTAGATTTACTTTTATCTTCAAACAGGGAAAGGTTTTATATGACAAGTTGTTAACAAATACAACCATCAAATATATCACTGATATACCATTTACCTTCAGTATTTCCATTTCACTTAAACAACCTATAAAATGGTGAGCCTTTAATGCCACTTTATGTGGAATAGTTAAAAGAAAAAATTTGTACCGGTAAATAAATAAGTATAGTTAGATAAAGACCAGTATTTAGCAAAGATGGCATCTTTAAACTGTATCATTATGGCAATATTTGATTGTCCCAGTAGGTTGCTTCCTACATACTGTCTCCTGTAACTGTATAAGTCATACTTTCTCACTTACACTAGCTTTACAACACATTACATTGTGATTTTGTGAATATATTTAGGCCGATCTGAAATTAATAAATTGTGCTTAAACTTGTAGGGTATATATACCTTTGGAAGGGCTTATTCTGGGACTGAGAGCTGATCTAGGTTTAGTTGTGTCGGTGCGCGGGGTCACCGATCGTGTATCAATTTTCTGTGAGAACACCTGTATGTTACCACCACCTGGTCTGTACCTTTCATTCTTTGTATCTGTCCCATATTTCTTCTTTACATCTCCAGAACTCTGAAATAAATATTTTATTTATATTATAGTTAGTTGATGCTTATACTGTTTTTTTTAATGAAAGTGATGCTTACACTTGAACAACATTCATGATAGATTGCACAATTTCCATCACAATTTCCATGGAGTCTAGTCAATCTTTATGCTCATTTTCTGATTTTTTTTTTTATCTTGAAACCCTTCCAATTATTCCAAATTCAAAACAGGGCCAATCATGTATATAAAGTCTGGAGATGATTTGGTTTATAAAGTTAAGTACTTAAAGTATTGATACATGGACAAAGTGATTCTTTATTTTGAAGGATAATTCATTAACACTGTTTAGTTCTCACTAGAAGAACCATTTTGTTACGGGTAAAATGGGTTAATAATGTCATTCAAAAAGCTTTATAATTTATGGTATGACCAGGTCATACTGAAACAAATAGATTATTAACCAGTCTGTGGTTAAATTATATAGTCAAAGCTGATATATTAAAAGGTATGCCATATATAGTCATTCATGATATAAACTGTTCTATTAAAAAAAAATGACATTGAATGAATAACAATAAAATTACCTAATTAACAAAATTAGATTGAAATTGCAACTTTTGTTATAAACAATACTTACCTTAAGGTTCAAAATACTAAAAAAAACACCACCAAGAAAAACACAAAAGAACATGGAATTTTAAAAATACATAAACTGATGAAACTATAATTACATTAATGGTATAATATGGTGATATATCCCCAAAATACACAATAGGATGACCCCTGGTCTGTTCACAAAAACAACTTCCCATGGTACTAGCCATACTTGATATATCTTAATACTTTCCTAATCTATACACTATTACTTGAAACTTCTATAATCTTGTAGAGTTAAATAACAAAAACTTTAGGCATGTAAAGTGTTAAGAAAATCTTATCTTTGTTTCTTCAATGAATGAAATGTCAACAGCTTATCTGATTGCCAATGTAAATACTGACAAAAAATCACTTTGACATTTGTTAATTAAGTGAAATGCAAAAAATAATGACAATGTTTAAAGCTGTTTCAAACAACAGATCTCATTCAGAAAGATTGTGTTAACTAAAGGTGTTGCTTCATTAAAATGATGTTGTTTGTCAGTATAATTTATGGTTATTCAGAAACAAAAACACCATGACTTTTATCTCAACAAAGACAACATGATTATCCTGTAATACAATAAGCAACCTTACCAAACATAATCAACAAACTATATATGTGTAATGGACTCACAATGTTTGGAATTTGTAACAATTGATTGTTTATATAAGGGGTTTTAATATGAAAATACATGTATTAAAATAAGCAGCAAACATGTATCTTCTGAGCCTTTACTTGACTGCATTTGACCTGTTTTGAACTAAATAATGTTCATTGCTTATATAGTTTCTGAGAAAATATACCTTAACAAAATGTTAACCAAAGCCCACACCTACACTGATGATCAGTGGGCCATAACAATAGCAGCTAAAATACCAAAATTGATTATAGAGCCTGGCAACATGGATGTCCAGTCTGACCTGGCTCTATACTTGTGACATAGTACATTCTCTACCACTACTAACATCTAGGACTAACTGCAGTAATATGCTTAGCCCTTCATTTATTTAAGCATAATAATGTTTCAAAATTTAAATTTAAACCAATATCTAAATACTAAAAAGCACTTCATGTCATAGTTTTAAAATATTATAGTAACTAGAAATGTGTCATCATGCCACGGATGCCCCCGCATGCAGCCAAAATTTCAGATGGTGCATTAATTTATTTTTTTTCATTTTAAGTTCAAAGCCCTTAAAACTTTTCAATGTTAACACAAACCATTTCCATACAACGTTCAAGGCACTGAAATTATTCAGTCTTAACCTTTAGAAAAAGCATATTGCATATTTGTAGCCAAAATAATGGCTAAAAGAATGAGTGCTGAAACTGAAAGTTCAAAATTTTTCCAACATTCAGGAAAGATAAGTTTGTCTAAAATCATTGAACCATGACCAAATTCAAACTTAAACTGCTTATTCCTAAGATGTATCAAAGTGAAAGGGACATAACTCTGCCAAAAAACCATCAAACCATGACCAAATTCCAACTTGACCTGCCCATTCCTTTGACATATCCATATGTCAAATTAAAATTGAATATGTAACACTGTCATTTCATATTATTTTCAAAGTAAAAAGGGGCATAACTCTGCCAAAAATCATCGAACCATGACCAAATTCGAACTTGACCTGTATTTTTTCATGACATATCCATAGGTCAAGTTTGAGTTGAATGTGTTGTACCGTTTGGGATATAATGAACAGAAACTGTAAATTTCATATTATTTTCAAAGTGAAAGGGGCATTACTCTGCCAAAAATCATTGAACCATGACCAAATTTGAACTTGACCTGGGCATTCCAAAAACATATCCATATGTCAAATTTGAGTTGAATGTGTTGTACCATTGGGGAGATAATAAACGGAAACTGAAAATTTCATATTACTTTCAAAGTGAAAGGGGCATAACTCTGCCAAAAATCATTGAACCATGACCAAATTTGAACATGACCTGCGCATTCCATTGACGCATCCATATGTCACGTTTGAGTTGAATGTGTTGTACCTTGAGGGAGATAATGAACGGAAACTGAAAATTTCATATTATTTTCAAAGTAAAAGGGGCATAACTCTGCCAAAAATCATCGAACCACGACCGAATTTAAACTTGACCTGCGCATTCCTTTGACACATCAATATGTCACGTTTGAGTTGAATGTGTTGTACCTTGAGGGAGATAATGAACGGAAACTGAAAATTTAATATTATTTTCAAAGTGAAAGGGGCATAACTCTGCCAAAAATCATCGAACCATGACCAAATTCAAACTTGACCTGTATTTTCTCATGACATATCCATATGTCAAGTTTGAGTTGATTGTGTTGTACCATTGGGGAGATAATGAACAGAAACTGAAAATTTCATATTATTTTCAAAGTAAAAGGGGCATAACTCTGCCAAAAATCATCGAACCATAACCAAATTCGAACTTGACCTGTATTTTCTCATAACATATCCATATGTCAAGTTTGAGTTGAATGTGTCCAACCGTTCTTGAGATAATGAACGGAAACTGAAATTTCATATTATTTTCAAAGTAAAAGGGGCATAACTCTGCCAAAAATCATCGAACCATGACCAAATTCGAACTTGACCTGTATTTTCTCATGACATATCCATATGTCAAATTTGAGTTGAATGTGCCCAACCGTTCTTAAGATAATGAACGGAAACTGATGATGACGGAATGACAGAATGACGGAATGACGGAAGGACGGAAGGACGGAATGACGGAACAGGGTAACACTATATGCCCCGGCCATTACATGGCGGGGGCATAAAAATATAAATTTACTGATCCAATAAAAATGATTTCACAAGTACCTCAAAAATTCAGTTCATAAACTTAACTTACCATATTCTTTAAGTTCAATTATCTATCTCAATTCATCTAAAGTTTATCCAACTTTTATATAAAAACACAGTATAGTACAAATTTTCAGGCTCAGTTAAACACTTGGTTTGATGAAAAGGCCTCTAGTCCGTATACATTAGATTTCAAAAGTGCATCACAATAAAGGTGTTTATGGATTTAAATAAATCCCCATGGAATGATGACACTATTGGACATCAGAGATAATATTTCTTTTCATTTTCGTATCTCGGCCATTAACCGTTTACAAGGTAACTGATAACTTACAGAAACATCTTTACTATGGGTAATAATAAAATAAAAATTTCAGTTTAATGAATACTTGTTATGTTGTTGTTTATTCCAATTTTTATTACCTTTAAATAATTATTTTTCATGAACTTTATCTATATGTTTTCACAATCTAAAGAAGATTAAAAGTTTTTGGTTTTTTGGGTTTACAAAAGGAACAAAAAATTTAAGATATAATCATATTCTAAAATATCAAGTTTAATTACAATAAACATTAGATAAGATGACAAAGGGTGTTTACCAAACTCATATTTGTTTTCATCTTTTTATTTACCTTTGTTATTTAATAGTTTTAAGACAAATTGAGATTAAATGACAACATTTGAACTTCAATGACAAGAAAAGATCTCGATGACATTTTGTTAATATCAGACATAACAAACAACAGCTAAGTAAGTTTGTATGTTGGTAAAAACCTGTAAATAATCTGGTATCTTACAAGAAGGGGAGCTAAACTCAGTCTTACAGAGTTTACCTCAGTCTAACATAAAAAGGAGCTAATCTCAGTCTTAGAGAGTTAATCTCAGTATAACATGAAAAAGAGCTAATCTCAGTCTTACAGAGTTAACCTCAGTCTAACATGACAGCTAAACTCAGTCTTACAGAGTTAACCTCAGTCTAACATGACAGGGAGCTAACCTCAGTCTTACAGAGTTAACCTCAGTCTAACATGACAGGGAGCTTACCTCAGTTTTACAGAGTTAACCTCAGTCTAACATGACAGGGAGCTAACCTCAGTCTTACAGAGTTGACCTCAGTCTAACATGACAGGGAGCTTACCTCAGTCTTACAGAGTTAACCTCAGTCTAACATGAAAGGGAGCTAAACTCAGTCTTACCGAGTTAACATCAGTTTAAAATGAAAGGGAGCTAATCTCAGTCATACAGAGTTAACCACAGTCTAACATGACAGGGAACTAACCTCAGTCATACAGAGTTAACCTCAGTCTAACATTTAACAGAGCTAAACATCAGTAGCTAACCTCTTCTTAGATGGAAAAAGCTAACCAGATTTACAAGGAGAGCTACCTCTGTCTTACAAGGAGAGCTGACCTCAGTCTTACAAGAATGGGAGCTAACCTGAGTCTTTGTCTTCCAAAAAAGGGGATATAACAAAAAAATTCTTCATTTACATCCTCTGCCTAAAGCTTTTTTCTACTTTAATTTTATGTGCCCACAAACTACTTTTATTTGGGAGTGGTCTGTCTTAAGAAAACTTTAAATAAACAATAAACCTCTTATAGAACAATCAATTAATGGTTATTGTCCAGTTGTATATCACTTTAATACATCATGTATGCAAATAATATGAAGTAGTAAGTAAACAAGATAATTACAATATGTAAATACTATAAAATATGGTATAGTTATAACTACTTTAATTAGGAAATGCACTTAAGAGTACTCCTAAAGAGTAAAGACACATATTACAATTAAAATTTTTTTAACAAAATGTTACGACTTAATACAATTGAAACCTAACAGCAAGCTTACTAGATAATGTAAAGATATAGATCTGAGGTCATTTTTTCAGCTTGCAGGCAAAAACAAAATTCTTACCATGTTTAAAACAAAGTGTTTTTTTAACTTGTTACTAATTTTTAATGTATGAAAAAACTAAATTTATAGAGGCTAAAATCATTTTAATTCTGTCAATCTATCATTGCATTTATCATGTGCAGTATCTAAATTCCAGTGAATAGTTTTCATATTTTCAATCATCAACAATTTAAAATTTGTCAGATAATGATGACATAAAGGGAAATAATTACTGCCAAACTGTCTTAGCAAATAAACAAACCTCATTATTTACCCTTCGATGTTTACGTTCCCATTTCATGCCAGGTAAAAGACAATTTAAACAGTTACACAGCGCAAGACAACATGGCGGACATTCCCCGTCACAATCCCCACAGTCTATAAATAGATTACACCCTAATTCCTCCTCCCAGCATTCATCACTCTCAGAATGGCTATATTTTGGCTTTCCACAAATTTTGCACAATTTTTCTTTCTTCGGACGTTTACAACAAGCAAACATTGTTTTTCAAAATCGCTTGATTTATTGTTTCAAGAGACTTTTTTTAAAAACACTTATAAATTTAATTTGACCCTAACTACAAAATCTTTTTTTATTCATTTATAACAAATATAAGTTCCAAATCATTATTTTACAAATTATCTTAATTTAAAACTTTCTTTTTCAATTTTTGCGAAATATTTCAAATAAAGTCAAAAACAACAATCCTTCAAACATCTGGTTGAAATTCACAGTCCAACCAAAATAAGTTTACCAGTATATTTAATTTTGATTATTTTTCAATTTTATGTAGGAATTTGTAATATGATATTTGACAAATTACTAATTTACTCTAAACGCTCGTTAATCTGCCATGAAACACACCATACCCAAAAATTATGCATTAAAGGATAAAGAACGCAAGTTATGTACATGAACAAAATCAGCGTCTTTATAAAATAATTAGCCGGCCTTGGTTGGTGTAAAATAATACATCTTTATATCATTGTGACAAGAATTAGCAAGAAAAAAATTGTGTACCAAAGTTTTATTTGCTTTTGATTATAGTCATAAATGCAAATTTGATACAATGATTTATTCAAAGAGAAAAATACATGTTTAAAAATGTTTTTCATATTCAAAAGTAAGTTGAAACATGCATAACTCTGACATTAGAATATTTTATTGAAACAAACATCTCTAATTTTTTTCTTTTTGGCATTTTATATTATTTTTTAATAATTCAATGTCTATTGTGGGATTTGTACCCTTAACAGAGAGAGGCAAGTAAATCTAAATCAGAGAACTTAATCACTCAGCCAAGGATGCCAAACTTTTGATTTATATATTCCTCGATTATACAAATAAATAAATAAAATATGAAATAAAAACAAACAGCTTCTTGTCTTTATCAGCATTACATAACACATGTATTTACTGTATATTAATGATCAATTCTGACTACAGAAACAAAATGTTACTAATACACAGGTTGGTGTTTAGATTTATTTATAGGGTCTACTAATTATGATGTTATAAAGTAGAATGTTTAGTATAACTAGATCAATATGACATCACAGAAAAATGTTGACCAGCGGAAAACATCCACAGATGATCATAACAACAATGGTGCTATAATGATGTTAACTAGCTAGAAAAATTACCATTTAAATATTGGCCTGTTATTAAGCTGTTACATGTAGAGTAAGGTTAAGACAGTTACCTTTCTTGGTGATTTGGCCTCTTCTTCGACTCCACTGTCCGAGGAAGCATCTGTAATTGTAAGAAGACTATTGATTACTGTTTGTTTTACAGAAATTGAAGTAGCATTACATCTGTAATTATGAAAAAATAACAATTACCGTATAACCTTTAGAATACTAAAAATACTACAAATTGATAAAATAAAGGGAAGAAGTTAACTGTTAAGGCAATATAACTATCATGTACATGATTAATTGAAATCTTATAATGAAGAAATTTATATCATTCTATATAAACAGTAAAATATGCTTAAAAGTGAGGATGAAGCTTTTCGAGAATGAAAGAAAAATCAAATGATTATTTTATCAAGAGCTTTATATCATGAAATTAATCTACATGTTACACATAAATTTAAAGCATTCACTATGCAACAACTGTTAAAGAAACTGAAGTGGTGATAAAATGGTAATAAAAATGCAATAACAAGAAATGTCCAAAGCATTACTGGCAATATACATGTATATGTTACAATACTTATTTTTACTCTAGCAAAACTCAGGAAAAATATAATTAAAGTTTACAAAGGGAGGTAATTCATACATGCTAAATATCATGCAGTATAAGAGTTACCTACCACTATAGATTTGGATAATGTTAAAGGTGGGTATATAATAAGTAACATTTTAATATGTTGTTTTTTTCTTATAATTTAAATATCAAGAAAATGTCATGCAAAATCTCTTAAAAGTCCAAACGTGTCATTTTCTCAGATTCAATAGTTATTGTGTTGTTGGTTTTTTTTGTTTTGTTTTTTCAGATTTGACAAATTGGCAGACCTTTGAAGTCTTGTCACTAATGCTAAAGAGTTCTCTGTTATAATAAGCCTGAATCACAATCACAAAACCATCAACATGTTTTATTTACTTGGTTTAATTTATATAACAAAAGGGTATAAACATAAAAAGTCACAAGTATATAGCTCTATGTAAGCTGCAGCCAAATGATATTCCCTTTTATAATCATTACCCTTCAACCCTTTCTCTTATACTTAAACTATTATATAATCAATAGGATGTTCCTCTATTACATCAACACTAAATAATTCCCCCTTACCTCCTCTACCCTACCTCAACCTTCAGACTAATGAACATCAGTCATGTCATTAAATTTAAGCCAACAAGAACTTTATTCAGAATATGATTTAAAGAATAACCCCGAAGTAAGCAATGAAGTATTTGAAGAGGGTTTAATAATGTTCAAAAGCTCTATATCAATTAGTGTGCATTACTGCCAACAAAGTCTCTTATGTTAACAACATATACTGTACTTTACATCTATCTAAGTTATGATAATAAAACAAAACACACACATATATCATAAAAATTAACAAGACTAGTAACTAAATTAAATAACAGTAACTAAATTAAATAACCTATCACAATTAAAACACACAACTAAAATAATATAGTAAACAAGCAAAACATAAGATGTGAAATAAACTAAAAATAGAACTACATGTAGTTATTAATAAAACATGCAGAAATACAAAGCTAAAACATACTGTAAAATCATCTTTGTTAAGTTGGAATTATGGAACAATGTGTTAATAAAACAAGTTTTGGAAACGAAAATAATAATTTTATTTCAGGGTGATAAATGCCATGACTAATTGCACACCACAGCATGCCTTTTTTGTTTTCAAGGACTTTAGAAACAATTATAAAATCCATGAAGATTGTTTCTTGTGTTAGAATGATGATGTGACAGTAGTAAAATAAAGTCTAGATTACATACAGCCACACAATGTATAATGCACAAGCATAGAGATTATTTTAAGTAGTTCATCAGTGCTCTCTCATGCAGTCATTTCCTCTAGTAGGAAGCTACTTTAACAAAACTGGGGAAAATATCAATAGTATCAGACAAAAAAATATTGGTGCCTTAGCACACTGAAAGTTGCCAGATAAACTGCAAACTTTACTTGGAGAGATGCTGGAATTTTTGTTGTTTTAAGATGGGTTTTTTTGTAAATGATGACAGAATGTTGAAGCACTGATAAAAGTAGAGATGGCAAATATTAAAATAACCTTTAGCATTGTGGCGTGCTGGTGCTGTTCTCGGCCGGTGTAACCGCGGAGGAGACGGAGGTGGTAAGTCAGCCTGTTTACCAATCAATGTGGGTTTCATCCTGGGAAGTTTTGGTATCACTACGTTATCATCCCAAGGGGGCAGTTCCAGAGGTTTCTTAGTTTTAGGTTTTGGAATTCTTCGTCTTCTTGGTGTGCCTTCGCATTCTGACCTTGAATCTAAAGATTCTGTTTCCTCGGAAGATATTTGCTGGGATCCCTGGGAAGTTAAGTCTGGTGTTTCAGCACCTTCTGACTTTGGAATGAATGGATCTTCTCTGTGAATATTGCTCATTATAGGTTCAGACATAGGTCCAGGGTGAGACATTTCAGAAGGGGAGCTTATCACATCAGAGTCCATATCACCACCACTTTCTGTATGTACATAAGGTGAGACTGACCTTTCTGGTGACTGTGACCTTCGTAATCTCTCAGGATCCATTTCAGGATGCCATGAATCTGGGTCAATTTCATCATTGTCATAATCAACAGGTCCATCAAAATTCTCCCTGTCATCATCCTGAACACTATCATCGCCCAAATAATCATTTTCAACATACTGATCATGTAAATTTTGACTAGGGTCTTGACTAGAATAATCACCTCTGGCACTATGATCTTGAACATGAATATCTACTACATTATTATCCTCCTCCTCACTGCCACCAGTATATTCAACTTGTCCAGTCATCAATGACTCACCATATTCATTCTGATATCCTAAAATTTCACCAGTACTCATATGTCTCGGAATTTCACCCTTTTGACCTACACATTCACCTTGACCTTGATTAATGTATGAAGGGTCAGGAAGGCCTATACCAGCCTCCTGATCAAAGGACACATGTTTGTCATCACCATTTGTCATTTGTCCATTTTCATAACATTCCCCTAACAAATCCACAGGTTGCTGTCCATTATTTATACTAGCCATTTTATTTTGTGGAGCAAAAGGGTCAAATTCACTTCCATCAAAATCTGTGAAAAAAGAAATTGCAATTTAAACCACCACCAAATAATCATCCATTCTAAACAATACTAAAAATCAACCTATTAAGTTTTTATCATCCTGAAACATTAAGATTTTTTTATCAAGTTGATAATCTATAGCATTTTCAAATGTCTAGGTAATATATACATTTATAAAATCCTGAGTGAAAAGTTCATTGAAATGCATACAACTTGACATTATATCATATTTTGTTCATCTGCAATATGAGACAGGAATGATTCACCATACAGTGGTGGCCTGCAGTGGCAGCCTGTATTTTACTATATTAAAAGGATGAGATATCCTGTTACAAATTTCATTACGTTAGCAAATAGAAGCTTTAAATATCCAGCTGAAAAAACCTGCCACCCAAAAATAAAAATATTTTACCCATTGCCTGGTGTCTAAATTTTCATCAAATATTTAAGATGTTATAAATAACATAATGAGCGTTATTATAAAGATGGAGCATTTTGGTCTGTGGGTTGATGAAAATCTGAGTGTCCTTGCTTTTACTTGTTGGTATATAACAATACAATATATGTATTATCAAGCTGGTAATTCAAAGTTAAAGACCCTACTACTTCCCCAATTAAGTCATGGAGCATTATCTTGTAACCTACATATTTAAATAAAGTAACATAATATATCTATTCACAAATCAGTTTAATTTAAAAAGAATCATGTAAAGCAATAAATGAAAATTTCCTTTACCAATCCAGGAATTTATGAGTGAAATGAAGATAGATGGAATAGAGCAGAAAGCTATCAATATTTAACCTATGTATGACTGGTATACAGCCAGGCCAGTCAGTACATCCGTGCAGTATGACTGGTATAGAGCCAGGCCAGTCAGTACATCGTGCAGTATGACTGGTATACAGCCAGGCCAGTCTGTACATCTGTACAGTATGACTGGTATACAGCCAGGCCAGTCTGTACATCTGTACAGTATGACTGGTATACAGCCAGGCCAGTCAGTACATCTGTACAGTATGACTGGTATACAGCCAGGCCAGTCTGTACATCTCTACAGTATGACTGGTATACAGCCAGGCCAGTCAGTACATCCGTGCAGTATGACTGGTCAGTACATCGTGCAGTATGACTGGTATACAGCCAGGCCAGTCAGTACATCTGTACAGTATGACTGGTATACAGCCAGGCCAGTCAGTACATCCGTGCAGTATGACTGGTATACAGCCAGGCCAGTCAGTACATCTGTACAGTATGACTGGTATACAGCCAGGCCAGTCAGTACATCTGTGCAGTATGACTGGTATACAGCCAGGCCAGTCTGTACATCTCTACAGTATGACTGGTATACAGCCAGGTCAGTCTGTACATCTTTGCAGTATGACCAATATACAGCCAGGTCAGTCTGTACATCTGTGTAGTATGACCAATATTCAGCCAGGCCCGTCTGTACATCTGTACAGTATGACCGGTATACAGCCAGGCCCGTCTGTACATCTGTACAGTATGACTGGTATACAGCCAGGCCCGTCTGTGCAGTATGACCGGTATACAGCCAGGCCAGTCTGTACATCTGTGCAGTATGACTGGTATACAGCCAGGCCAGTCTGTACATCTGTGCAGTATGACTGGTATACAGCCAGGCCAGTCTGTACATCTGTACAGTATGACCAGTATAAGCTTCAATGGCAAGCCAATATTAGAAATTCAGGTTAAAGGATAGAATAAAAAATACTATAATTTTATCAAATCTTAGTATTTTTTTTAAGTACAATGTACTTTTCAAAATTGTCAGCTAAATTTAAAAGAGAAACAATACATGCCCTATAACTCTATATTACATCGGAGATATCACTTTCTTTGTTACAAAAAAAACCCCCTCCACAGAAACCCTAAAATGTTTTGCTATTAGTATTGTAAAAATGAAATCAAGCATTTTGAAGAGAACATTAACACCAAGTTTTATAACCTTACAGCTTTTTATTTGAACTGAAGGTTTGTAATCTACCAGCATTTCACAGCTCATTTATATGTTAAATTGGCAGATGGTGAGGAAAAAACTGAATTTTTATGTGTACCATACTTTTTCAAATAAAAGAACCAAAACATTCTTTTCTTATTCATGCCTAATGTTGAAGTTTTGATCCAAATAAATACATTCTATTATGATTCTGTGGAATTAATTAAGTATCAAAGTTCAATAGACATATTGTTCTTCTCTTACTTACTGACTAAAATTATCTTGCATTTTCATATTAAAATATTTCGCTCAAAAAAAAGTTTATTATTCTTATATCATTTCAGCATTTCATTCAGATACTATGGACAAAAAGTTCGATTTTCAGAAAGTTGAAATTCATTATTTTTATTGTCTTTCTGAACAATACCAAACACCACCCCACCCATCCCAGTAAAATTTTATCATAAGAAATAAATATATTTTATTACCAACAATTGGCAGTGAGTAAGAATACATGTATATATATTTAGTTTAATGATATGTTACATGAAGATGTGCTGCTTTAAACAAGGCAATTTGGCAAAACTTTTATTTTCTATCTAGAGAGACAATCTGAGATAGATTAACTTCTAATAAATGTCAATGCCTCCAGAAATTGTTAGATCACCAGAACTTTTATTCCTACAATCAATATCAAGTTTGTGCAATATTCCAGTACAAACTTGGCACACAATTGACATTCATGTTTAACTATTTAGGCTGTTCATGAATACTATAAATTTTATGAAGTATAACATTAAAGAAATGTTCCAGTTAATTGTAACCCCTCCCCCATCCACAATGAAGAGTAGGGCTTAGAGGTTGAAAGTGCTTTTATGTCACAATGTATTTTGTGCTGGCAAAATAGAAAGTATGTCAAATTCACTGAGCAGGGGGGGTGTTCATTTTAGTGAGGATTTTACAATTTTACTTCCCTGCAGGCATGGCGTGTTTCATGGATTTGACATTCACAAAATTCCTTAGGGTGGGGTTGAGGTTTCTTGGATTATAACCTACTGATGAGCAATATTATTTTTATAGGTACGTGAATGATTTCAAACAGTTTTCCCCAAAATCCAGTTTGCCTAAGCTATTACAAGTATCTTATTTGTTTTAGATAGGCTGCTTTCAGTAATTTTGATAAATAGATTTGACAGGAAATTGGCACATCTTAAATGTAGTCAGATTACATTCCAACAGAATGATAATACTTTACTAATTCTAATTAATGTACTCATGTTTATCTATATGCAATTAATGATGGTATAATTGTTCCCAATTGCTGGTTAAACCACAGATGAAATATTTATATGACTGTGTATATAAATAAACCAGTTTATTAAATAATAATTCTTGGACAATACAATTTATATAGTAAACAGGTGCTGATAGTTATTTTGTTCTTGATGATCAAGGGGTGATTTTTTATGGTAATTTGACCGTTACTGGCCTGGCAAATGTGCCGAATGCCTGTGGTCAATAAACCAATGATGTCATGAAAATTATTTCTCTGCTCAATACAGCTTAAAATATTCCTATCAATTTTCTTTCTTTTTAGCATGTGAGAACAGAAATCAATTTTTCATGTGTTGTATGACAGTAATATAATCAAGCATTGGTTTATCATTCAAATAATTTGTAAATTATCACTCCGGCCTATTGGTCTAAGTTATTATATTACTGTGTGTTGGAATTATTCAACAATAATGCACTATAAAGTGATATCTACCTTAATCTCTTCAACTGAATACATACAGTTTAGCTAACCTTATAGTGCCCTTTATAAAACATCTAAACTGTTAAACATTTAACCCTCATTTCACTAATTTTTTCAAAAATGAACACTGTGAGATGTCCCCTGAGATGCTTTTTTGCCAATTTTCCAGGAGAAATATAGTACACAAATATACTGCCAAGAGCTGCTGGCTTGAAAAAACAGATATTCACTTAAGCTGTTAAGATGTGTATCTTTTACAAAACCTAGATATCAGAAAGGTTAATTTTGATAACTTACATTTGATAAAATACAACTATTTACATTTCCCGTAATAAAAATAGCAATGTGTATGTGTGAGAAGTACTTACTTCTTGTTTACATATAGTAAAATTGTTATTTCTGTCACAATGTTGGAAAAAATCATTGAAATGTAACAGTTGATCATAGCTTGATAATTACAGTAATGATAAATTATGTGAAAGATCAGTGATTGTAAAGAACATTTATATTTCAGATATAAAAACTAAAATTGATTTAGCATGACAAAGCACAATGCATTCAACTTCAAAATTCATTTAACTTCTATTTAACTATTTCCCTGCAGACTTTTTGCCATGGAGTCTTACCATGTTTTTTATATGGGAGATTTCTCATTCTAAGTTTGAAGTTTCATGATGATTAGAATCCAATATACTTATTAATAAATTAAGCTGATTATTAACAGTATTTCTGGAAATTATATGAAGAGTATCACATATGATGCTGGTGATATTAGTACACATATATTTCAAGTTTGAAGTAAATTGCTGAAGAAATAAAGAAGTTCCAAGTTGCAAGGAGAGATAATTCTAAAATAATGACAGCTAGACTTATGAACCTTATCAGATTTATTCATTGAGGAAGTATGAAGAAAATATCTTTAGAAATGTCGTGGGGACATATAAATAATTTCATAGCAAAACTTTAAGTTAAGAATGTACATACTAATATAGGTGCCTAGGTTATATAAACCTTGTATATATGATGTGGCTCAAGAAATGTTCATTAATTTGAAGTTTGTAATCACCCCAAAGTTATAGCTAGTAAAAATATATTACTGCATAAAACAGAAATCTTAATGTGGACCCTGCAGTGACTATAAAAATCAGCTTAAAACAGTTATTTAAACTGCCTTCAAACTAATCATTTACCAAATGACCTAAAATATTGCACTTTTACATTTTCGTGGGAATGGTATAAAATTTGCACCTAAACAAATATAAATCTGAAATGTTAAAATAAGCAGTACCTTGATT